TATATATATTTTATATTACTTGTTATTCATTGATGAGGGAGAAGGAAAATGTCTTTGATGGATTTCGTTTGTTTTTTTTGTTTTGCATGCATCGAATTAATACAAACTAAATAAATAAACAACGGTTAAATACACGAACTATCCTTTATTAAATAAATAAATTTATTTATATGTTTATTTATTTATTTATTTATTTATTTATTTGTCTCTGTTGTTTAAGAAAGACTCCGCCTCTCTCCCTAACAACTGCAGCACAGACTTAGCAAAAGCCCCGGGGTCTTCGAGTGTATATCCACCTTGCAGCGACGCGACAGCAAATAACTCTAAAGCCAGAGACTTCGCTCTGCTGCTAGAAGGATCAGCCTTCACCTGCATGCAGCAGCAGCAGCAACAGCAGCAAAGTTTTTGATAACAAAGGAGACAGACGCGGAGATAGGTAGAAACAGCAAGGCAGAGCGATGATGAGCTATGAATTAACAAAACAATAAACAACGAAAGACCCTAACAAGACGAAAAAATAATAACAAAACACCACATATATACACATATATATACAAATATATATATATATATATATTTGTATATATATATATATATTGATATAAAGCACACAGCAAATAAACAAACAAGACAAGCCAGCAAAACAAACAAAAAGAAAACAAAATAAACAAAATGCAAATAAAATAAACAATTAAAATAATAAAGAAACGCCTTCAGACTCTTCCTATAAATGCCTTCATTATAGTTCCTCTTTATAAAGAAGAAGATAATCAAGAAAACAAAAAAATGCATCCCGAAGCGTCTTAACATAAAAAATAATATTTCTATAGAAGTTCAGGTGTACGTACACCTCAACTGTAATAGACACACACATGTACAACAGGCGCTGCTGCTGCTGCAGTTGCTGCTGCTGCTGCAGTTGCTGCTGCTGTTGCTGCTGCTCCTGCTGATGCTTAGTTGCAGGCGTCTCAGTTATATATATATATTAAACTCACAACCCCTCAAAGAGAGAGGCAGCTCGTCATCTACTATCAGCCATCATCGGCAGAACAAAGAAAACAAACAAAAACAAAAACAAAGTATAAAACAAACAAATATAAATATAAAATAGAAGCCAAAACAAAGAAGACAAAATAAACAGCAACAAGAAAGAATAACAAAGAATCAAACAATCAGCAGCAGCATCTTCATCGCATTTGCTAAACACCATCAACAAACGATAAAACAAATAAGCAAATGATAGAAAGAAACAAACAAAAAGAAACAGATTCTCATCTATCTAAACAGCAAAACTGCTGCTGCTGCTGCTGCCTCAGCAGCAGCATCAAAAACAGCACCCCAAAGACACTGCCCCACCCCCTCTAAACCCTAAACCCTAAACCCTAAACCCTAAACCATACCATGAGATCGAGTTGTTTGATGATAGGATGATTAGGATTGATTTCTAAGATGGGCTGATTAAGAGTAGCTCCGAAGAGCTTTTGTTCTGCTAAGCCTTGTGCTGCTGCTTGCTGCTGCATATAACGCTGCATTGTAGGAGACAGCCCCAGCTGCCCCTGAACTAATACTGCTGGATGCTGAACTAAACGAGAAGACAGAGACACGTTGTGCACCCGAGGCCCTAAACACTGCTGCAGCCACTCCACTAGCCTGAGAAAAGCATAACATATATATATATATATATATTTACATATATATATATATATCTTATATGTATAGATTATATATAAAATATATAATACACTATATATATGTGTCTTTGTAGATCTACATGCATGCATTAGAGGGGAATAAAGCCCCAAAAAAGCATGCATGCATGCATTAGAGGGTAGGTAGGCCCTAAACAAAATGCATGCATGCATGCATTAAAAGGCGTCTAGATGAACATCAAAGAAAATTAACACTGGGTGCTCGTCTACTACCGCTGTGCAGCCATTCAATATATAATAATAAAACAAGAAAAATAAATAAATAGTATTTTATGCATTTATTTTGTATTATTTTACTATTAAACGCAAAGTAAACAAAAACAACGCATGCAAATGAAATATACACAGCCAATAAACATAGCACAACCTTTATAATATACATATTTACATATACACATGCATATATATACGTATACATATATATATATATATATATATTCAAGCAAACAAACGATAAAAAGAATAAAAGGAGCAGCGCTTTCAGTCGGTAATTCCAGCAAAAGTTCGTCTCAGCAGAAATAACTCCAAAGGAGCCTCAGAAGCCGCAAATCATCACCAGCCGCATGCAGCACAATTAAATAAAAACAAATAAATAAATATATAAATAATAGGCAAATACGCAGACAAACCAGACCAAGTGAAGTAGTTATATATATATATATATATGGAATACTTATCGATACATGTATATATATATTATATATTATAGATATTATATATACATACATATATATATATATATATATAATTGCTGCATCATACAATAAGCGAATAGATAAAAGACTAGGGCTGCCCTTTGGGGTTAGCTTACGGGGCGAGTTCAATTCTTTTAGTGGCGATATCTTCTGTTTGCGTGGCGTTGTTTTGTTTGTTTAAATCTTTATTATCTGCTGCATGCAAATGTTCATGGGTGGGGTTGTTGTTTTGTTCAGTGTCTTCTGCATCGAGCTGTAGATCTGCTTTATTAATATCAACAACATCAAAGCCCTTAAACTGAGATATACCGAGAGAAGCAAGAAAGAATTCATCAAGGGGCTCAACTCCAAACAAAACCTCCAAACCCCTCGCTCTTAGACCCTCTAATGCTGGGCTGTCTTCTGCTGCTCTTCTATTTTCTGCTGCTAAAAAGAATATTGCCTTTTGCTTCTTTGCTGGCTGTCCGTTCGGCAGAGGGGGGTGCTTTCCTTCTTCTATTTTCTTGTTCCTTTCTTCTAAACGAGATATATATTCATCTAAGGTGGTTAAAGATGTACGCGAGTGAGACGAATGAAGCTGCACCAACGAAGCCAACGCTTGCTGCTGATCCCGGTCCTCTACAGCGCCGATCTGCACAATAAAACAATAAAATATATTCGAATTTGTTATTTATCACTCAACAGATAATGCAACCAAAAAGAAATAAGATCATACAGAGGAACGCCAATGCAACCATGCATGCAATAGTTCCCAATAGACAATAAAAATTTCTATACACTTCTTTTATTTGTCTCAGATGCGCGGCTTTGATTGCATAGACAGCCTCGGCTCCCGCGTGGGTTCGTTTGTACGCGAGACAACGAGGGGCCTCAACTGACACGCGCCAATCATCCCAGACAGAGCAAAGAAAGCAAATAAAAGGAATGCGAATAAACACAGCAACAGAAACACAGAGAAACATCTAGGGGGAAAGAAGAGAAAGTAGTATATGTATGCTGCAAGATCAGAAGATTATTAATCGATTCCGTTATTCGCATTGTCCTCAAGAGGCAAGCCTCAGTAGAGGGAGCGAAATCATCACAATCGCAGCAGACTGTGGTTCCTTGTACAGAAGAGGAGAAATGAGCACCGAGAAGAGCAATAACAGGGCGAACGGACAGGAAAACATAAAGGAATAAGTAAATGGATCAACGAATGAATGAAAGAATGCAATGGAAAGGCGGCTTCTTCATCAGTCGGTAATTCCAGCAAAAGAAGTTCTCCGCATATTCCCAATGGGAACGTCGGTAGCCGCAAATCATCAGCGAGCCCTTCTCTGGAAACGCGAGAAGATCTGGCTTTTAAGGAGCGCCTTTCCACTGGGAAACACTTGTCGACGAGAATAAAAAGAACGAAAATAAAAAAATATATTTAAAACGAATAAAAATCGCCGCGGAATAGGAGAGAAATAGAAAAACGAAGAAACTTGAATATGAACAGAAACTTGAATGCACAATTCAGGTGTATAGGCACCTACCTTGATGTACTTCCCGTAGTTTTCCCAGAAGCGGTCCCACTTTTCACTTCCTTGTCGTTTGATTGCTTGAATCATTTCAACTGCTTTTGCTGCAACTCTCTTATGAACAACTCTTAACATCTGCGACTTCTGCAGTATCTCTCGACCAACATTTAAAGGAAGATCGTCTGAGTCAACAACACCGCGAATAAAGGTAAGCCACCTGCAAGAAGAAAGCAACGAAAACGCAAGCATATTCCATTTCTTTCTTCATCGACGAGAAGAGAAAAGAACACCTAATATACAACAAATATACTGAACTTCTATTGTTGCTTTCTTATTCAGATGCATACGCAATACATTATATTCTACCTACATACATCCACGAGAGCGAGCTTCTGAATGTCGGGCTATGAGACCCCGAACGACAGATAAAACATTATCAAGCAACACAAACGAAGTATATATAGAACGCACGCGTCCGCGTCCCAATTGGCACTTGAGACACAACAAAAGAACAAGAACGATTTATTGTTTATTCCATCGATTATTTATTTCTGTTCATTTCATATTATTTGTCTCAGATGCGCGGCTTTAATTGCATAGACAGCCTCGGCTCCCGCGTGGGTTCGTTTGTACGCGAGACAACGAGGGGCCTCAACTGACACGCGCCAATCATCCCAGACAGAGCAAAGAAAGCAAATAAAAGGAAACAAGCATGCAGTAAACAGCAAAGAGATAGCAACAACAAAGCAGCAGATGCATGCGGCACATCAGAAGTTTGTTAATCGATTCCGTTATTCGCATTATCCTCAAGAGGCAAGCCTCAGTAGAGGGAGCGAAATCATCATAACCCGCAGCAGCAGCAGCAATAAGAACAGCAGCAGCAACAATAAGAACAGCAGCAGCAACAGGGGATCTCCCTTGAACGCCAGCCTGGGAGCAGAGAGGGCTCCAGCAGCAGACAGGCCTCAGCGCCTCCATGCAACCTACATAAACCCTAAACCCTAAACCCTGTGAGACCCTAACCTCGGGACTGCCTCCTGGAACTTGTCGTTTATGAAGACGCGGCGTACGTACAGCCGAATGCCTCGCGAGTCCTCATCTGCAGCCAGGCACCGCAAGTGCAGCAATAATAGACTTAAAAACAATAGCAGCAGCAGCAGACTGTGCAGCAGCAGGTCAAGCAGGAGGTGGTGCTACAGGAGCAATTCATTATTATAACTGAAACATTATGTGCATGCATGCATGCAAGTTTGCATATAAAGCCCCACCGAACATATTTCTTGAGAGCTCCCAAGGCAACGTCCCCGGTACGTACAGCAGAGCCCTAAACGAGACCTGACCCTCCACTTGCATGTGAAGAAAAGCGAGAGGATCATCGTAAGCCTGAAACAACAACACACCCAATCAATATCAAACCACTCAGCTGTACAGACAGTACCCCTCTGCATGCACGTATTCATGCATGCATGCATGCATGCAGAGGCAGAGAGACAACCGAGAACGGAGCGAAGCGAGAGTATAGAGCGAGAGATAGACAACCAGCCGGAGAGTGAAGGGAGACAGATAGATAGATAAAGCTGAGAGAAAGAGCATTAAACACAAAAGAAAGACAGGCATACCTTAAACGTAGCTTTATAGAAGTCTACGTAATCCTTCTCTGTCAGCGTCTCCTCTGCACGTCTCCATATAGGGGGTTGTGTATTTAAATGAAGCCACTCAGAAAAGCGATTCGTTACTGTTTTAAATTTAGGGGCCCCCGGGGGGCCCCCCGCCTGCTGAGCGTCTGCATCGGGTACCCTTTCATATTCAATACGCTCTGCTAATAAGTAAATTGGTACTGATAGAAATTCTGAGTATTTCTTTAAAAGCTCTTTAAGACGATAATCTTCTAAGTAGTCATCGCACTCCTCTCGTAGATGCAGCACTACTCGGGTCCCTGTCCAAGGCTGAGACAGCTGCTGCTCGAGCTGCTGCTGCTGCTGTAAGAGATATGCGTCGCCGACAGGGGTACCTGCCTTTGCTGCTTGCTGCTGCAAGCTCAGATGCAACGCTCGCATCTGCTGCACCCATCGCTGCTGCTCTGCTGCTCCGTCAAGCTGCTGCACTGCGAAAGTCTGCCCGCAGCTAGAACTCCACTTCCATACCTCTGGAACTGCTGCTGCTGCTGCTGCTGATGTTGCTGCTGCTGCTGATGTTGCTGCTGCTGCACTTGGGGGTGTCCAGCGAGAAGAGATGACCTCTACTTTGTCTGCAACTAAAAAAGCAGAGTAAAACCCAACGCCGAACTGCCCAATGAGATCATTCGCACCCCCTAAGGGCCCCCCTCCTTCCAGCTGCTGCTGCTGTTGCTGCTGCTGCTGCTGCAGGTGTTGAGCGAATTTGTAGGTACCCGACTGAGCAATGGTGCCCAGATGATCGATTAACTCCTGTCTATTCATTCCTATGCCGTCGTCTTCTATTGTCAGCGTTCCCGCCTTCTTGTCTGCATACACCCGAATCGAGCGCTGCTGCTGCTGCTGCTGCTGTTGGTCCGGCTGCTGCTGCTGCTGCTGCTGGCCAAGCAGCACCCGTTTCTTGTCGCATGCATCAGCGGCGTTAGAGATAAGCTCGCGAAGGAAGACGTCACGGTCGGTGTAGAGGCTGTGAACGATAATATCAAGAACCCTCTTCACCTCTGCCTGAAACGGAAAACGCTCTTCTGCTGCTGCTGCTGCTCCTGTTGCTGCTGCCGCGGGCAGGGTAGGGGAGTCGATAGGAACAGCAGCTGCATCTGTTGCTGCTGCTGCTGCAGCAGCAGCAGAGAGAGAACTGATATGGTCTAGGCGACTCGCACCATCTTCACTGCATACGAGCCCCCCTGCAGTTTGCTGCCTAGAGCAACTGCTGCTGCTGCTGCTGCTGCTGCTGCTGCTGCTGCTGCATGTTGTGCCTGGTAGCAGTGTATAGGGAGCTGGCGTGCGATGGGTTGGGCCTCTGAAGGCGAAAGAACGCGAAAAAAGACAAAACAAAAAAATAACAAACAAACAAACAGACAAATGACGCCTCATCGTCGCATCGTGGGCCGGGCCTGCTCACAGCAGCAAGAGCAGCAACAGCTGCAGCAGCAGCAGCAGGAGGTTGACCCTTCTTTGCTGCAGCTCTACAGCCTTAAAACACCCATTCAGCAGCGAAACACGCAGCAACAGCAGCAGCTTCCGCTGCTGCTGCTGCTGCTGCTGCTGCTGGTCGTCCCCGTGTGTGGGGCGGCGTCTTTGCCCCTCGGGTTAAACTCTAAGCCCGTTCAGAGTTATTACAAAGACAGCTGCTGCTTGTTATATAAACAACAAATCAAAGAAACTGATTTACTACTGCATGCAGCAGAAACAAAACAAATGCAAGCTGCTGATGCTGCTGCTCTTGTAAACGATCACCCCCCAGCGGCCCCGCAGCAGCGGGGCGGCTGCTGCTGCTGCTGCTGCCGCTACGGCTACTGTGTTCGGTGTATTTGCGGGAGGGTTCTACTGGAGGCTTATTCGGAGGAAAAGCGTGGAAGCTGTTAAGGGTTTATGGATTAGGGTTTAGGGTTTAGGGTTTAGGGTTTGCAGTCGCGGGGCTCAGCAGCACCAACTGAACGCGTTCTGCGTGAAGATGCCGAAGAACAAAGGTTTGTCTTTCTTAGCATTTGCTGCTGCTTCTTCTTGCTGCTTGCTGACAGCTGCAGCTATCTTTCTATGCCCCGTCTTGCAGCAGCAGCAGCAGCAGCAGAAGCAGCAGCAACAGCAGCAGCAACAGCAGAAGCATGCAGCGGCTGCTGCAGTTTGCAGCTCTTGTACAAGCGTTTTTTCTTCGCTCAGCCTTCAGCATACACTTGCAGCAGACTCCCGGATATCGACCTTTGCTGCTGCTGCTGCTGTTGCTGCTGCTGTAGTCGTTGCTGCTGCTGCAGTCAGCAGCAGCAGCAGCTGCTGCTGCTGCTGCTGGAGATGGCAGTGAAGTCTGCCTCCACAGAGGCTTGCATATGTTGTCGGAGTGCAGCACCACCCACAGCCGCATGGCGCCTATCGCCCTAGGGTTTAGGGTTTAGGGTTTAGGGTTTAGGGTTGTTTGTTGCGTGTAGGAAAGGGTGGGAAGAATCGAAGGAGGGGGAAGAATGATAATGAGGGGGAGAAGAGAGAATTGCAATTCAAAGAAGACGGACAGGGTAAGGGTTTAGGGTTTAGGGTTTAGGGTTTAGGGTTTAGGGTTTAGGGTTTAGGGTTTGACACCCAAAACTATACTCTTCTCTGAATTATAAAATAGACATAATAGTGAGTTTAACTTTGTTTCAAAGTGCAATAAAACAAACTCCTCAAATAAATATATACAAATATATATATATATATGTTTGCCTGTATTATATATGTCTGTATTTATTTATATGCATATATATATATATATAGATATATCTTTCTATATATATATATATATATATTTATATCTATATATATATCTATATATTTATATATTTATATATATTTATATTTGCTGCAGCATATGCTCAAGTGCTGCGCATGCTGGGTAACGGCCGTTTAGAAGCTCATTGCTTTATATACATATCTATCTATATATATATATATATTTATGTATATTTTTTGCTGCAGCATATGCTCAAGTGCTGCGCATGCTGGGTAACGGCCGTTTAGAAGCTCAT